GGGGGGCTCTGACATGAAGGGGGCACCATTTTGGGGGTCTCTGGAAGGAGAGTGGCACCATTTTGGGGGTCTCTGGGCATGAGGGGGCATCATTATGGGGGTCTCTGGCATGAGGGGGCACCATTTTGGGGGTCTCTGGGCATGAGGGGGCATCATTATGGGGGTCTCTGGCATGAGGGGGCACCATTTTGGGGGTCTCTGGGCATGAGGCTGCCATTTGGGGGGGGTTGACAGGAGGAGGCCACCGTTTTGGGGGCTTCTAGTATGAAGGGGCCACCATTTCAGGGGTCTCTGGCATGAGGAGGTGACCATTTTGGGGGTCTCTGGAAGGAGGGGGCACCATTTTGGGGGTCTCTGGCATGAGGAGGTGACCATTTTGGGGGTCTCTGGAAGGAGGGGGCAGCATTTTGGGGGTCTCTGGCACAAGGAGGTGACCATTTTGGGGGTCTCTGAAAGGAGGGACCACCATTTCAGGGGTCTCTGGCATGGGAAAGTGGCCATTTTGGGGGTTTCTGGCATGAGGAGGTGACCATTTTGGGGGGGTCTCTGAAAGGAGAGGGCACCATTTTGGGGGTTTCTGGCATGAGGAGGTGACCATTTTGGGGGTCTCTGGAAGGAGGGGGCACCATTTTGGGGGTCTCTGGCATGAGGAGGTGACCATTTTGGGGGTCTCTGGAAGGAGGGGGCAGCATTTTGAGGGTCTCTGAAAGGAAGGGGCACCATTTTGGGGGTCTCTGAAAGGAGGAGGTGACCATTTTGGGGGGTCTCTGAAAGAAGGGGGCACCATTTCGGAGGATCCAAAGGAGCTCCAGGAGCATCCCCAGCCAATCCCAACCTTCCCAGCAGCTCCAAGCTTGGATTTCAGCTTCATCCCATAAACGTGTGACGAGGCTTTGGGCACAGCAGGGTCAGCACCCCCCGACTTGGGGGGCTTTGGTGGCCGGTTCAGGTGTGACCCCCAACAACCCGACTCTGGCACCTGCAACGACACCAAAACCACGTTCAATCCAGCCCATTCAAGCCAAAAAAAAACCCAACCACCCTGGTAAACCCATCCCTGGAGATCCCAAACTCCTGAGTTGTTTCACAGGGATGAGCCCAAGAACCTCCCGGAGGAGAAAGGAGCTGGAGAACAAGGACAACATCATCACCTGGCAGCTCCAGGTAGCAAATCCAGGGTGTTTTGGGGCATTTTGTTCCTCAAAAATAAGCATTTTATGGTGCTCATTAGACAATTTTCCCTGCTAAAGGTGAAATAAATCCTGTTGTAACCCAGAAGGAGAAACATGGTTCCGTCCACGGTGAAAAACTGAGCAGAAACAGCCCAAAACCTTCACCCCAAGGTTCAATCTCTGGGGTTGGAGGCAAAATCCAAAGGAAAGGGGGGAGGGGGGGCGGATTTTCCCAGTACCTGCTCCTGGGTTGGGGTCTCCTGAGCTGCTGGTGGGCAGGAAGGGCTGAGTTGGGTGGGATCTGACTCCTCTCTCTGTTGCTTCAGCATCTTATACTCCTTGTAGAGCCCTGGGATGGGTCATCAAGGATTTGGGGCATCCCTGGGAACTACTGGGTAATCCCAGCACTTCCCACACCCCCTCGAGCCACCAAAGACCCCCCTTGAGGGATCATCAAGGATTTGGGGCATCCCTGGGAACTACTGGGTAATCCCAGCACTTCCCACACCCCCTCGAGCCACCAAAGACCCCCCTTGAGGGATCATCAAGGATTTGGGGCATCCCTGGGAACTACTGGGTAATCCCAGCACTTCCCACACCCCCTCGAGCCACCAAAGACCCCCCTTGAGGGATCATCAAGGATTTGGGGCATCCCTGGGAACTACTGGGTAATCCCAGCACTTCCCACACCCCCTCGAGCCACCAAAGACCCCCCTTGAGGGATCATCAAGGATTTGGGGCATCCCTGGGAACTACTGGGTAATCCCAGCACTTCCCACACCCCCTCGAGCCACCAAAGACCCCCCTTGACATCCAACCAAGGGTCTGGCTGATCACAGGGGTTCACCCCCACCCACAGGGGGGGTTCCCAGGCCCCCCACAGCCCTCCAGGGTGAGGGGTGACGAGGTTGCCACTCACTTTTGATGTCCTCAGGAGCCACCTGGATGTCACCCTGCAAGGAAAACGTGCCAAAAACTGTTATTTCAAGCGACAGAGCCAATTGTTGTTAATTTTCTGCTCTGGTAGAACAAGGAAGAGCTTTTCCTTTTTGTCCTTTGGGGTCTTTTTGTTTGAAAAACCAAAGTAAAACTGTGCCCGGG